CCTCCACTATGGGAGATGCTCAACTTCAGACCTGACTCTGCCATATTCTTAGGACCTGCTGCTGTTTTCTGGCTTCTCCAGTCTTGATGTCTGCCAAAGTCTAGGCGGCACAAATCAAATTGTTCCCAAACCCTCACCACACTCCACTCTGGGTGGGGGCATCATCAGGTGAGTCTAGGAGCTCCTTCAGCTCAGCGAGCATCCCACTAGACTAGGGCAGAGATGGAAAAGAAGCCAGGCTCTCTGCATGCAGACAGCCCCAATCTTCATGAGGGGTTCTCTTAGGGTCCCCTCTTTTGGCTTAAAGTGCTGGGGTAGGGAGAGCAAGTGCCTTCTCTACAAATTTCTTCTGTAAAAAATACACTGTTGCTGTCTCTGCATCTAAGTCCCTTGAGATCTCTTTTATCAGCTCATCCCCCAGCTTCTGCAATGTCTTGCTGCTGGTGCTGGCGTCTGGACGACTAAGAGCAAGCCCTGTGTGGGAGAACAGAAGTCTCAAGAGGGAACAAATTCTGAGGAGTAATTTACATTTCACAGCTCAGCAGGTATCAGCCTGGCCTAGGGACCTCAGCCAAAACAGGAAACTCACTTGGGTTACCTCTTCCCCGTCCATCCTCCCACTCCCTTGCTGACTTCTCCAGGGAGCATTTCCAATAAATCACTTGTACATGAATCTTTGGCTCAGGTTTTGCTTTTGGAAGAACTCAACCTAAAGAAGAATTTTTGGTTTGGTTTGTTTTAATGAATTTCTAGACTATTATTAAATGCTCTTGCTCAGAGTGACAGGACTTGGTGGCTCTCTCTTAGCAAGTTTTGCATAGACATGATTGACAGTTCATTTTGCAGAGGGTGTGAGCATTTATCTACCCATGTCCTCGGCTTTCAGGGCCTCAGCTGAAGCTCCAAAAAAGAGCAGGATATATTTTGTGTAACCTCTTCTGTCATGTGATATTTTTTTCCCTCTCAGTATTGTCCAAAGTCTATGATAAAAGCAAACCCTTTTCTTTTCTCTCTTTTATGGCTGTTTTAGAGTGGAGCTTTCTCCTCGGCTCTGACATATTCACTGGGGCGCTTATGCCTCAGCTGCCATGGAGATGACTTTGGAGAACTGACAGGCAGGGAAAATGTTTATAAAACAAACATCAGAACTAAGATTCCTGGCTGCCACCTGGGAGCCTGACAGTGCCACACGATGCTTTCTCCTCCACAGACTCTACTCAGTGTCTCTCATGCTCACAGGCTACACATCGGTTCCCCCCAGTCCTCTCAGGTTCGTTTCACAGAGGCCAACAAATTCCTTCCCTGAGGGGTGAGCCGTGACCGTGACCGGGAGACCATAGCCTTCAAGTCCTGGAACACGCAGGGGTCAGCAAGCATGTGAGGTTGCTAAGAACTGGAGGGGACCTCCCAGGGGCTCCTGCTGCCACGCCCGTCCCACACCGGCCTGTACTCTAACAGGAAACTGTGACCTGGGGAATGAGGAAAGGTGAAGAAAGAATTTGGGGATCCAAATCTCCCCGGAACAGGCCTGTGTGAAGCCTCCTACTCTATGTCAGCGACATAAGCTGCCAGAAGAGCAGCCTGGAAGGACGCTTAGAGAAAAATCAGTGTTGAATGCCACCCACTGGGAGAGCGCACAGGTTTAACGTCGCCCGGATCTGAGCTGGAAACGCCTAACTGGGATTGTACCTGAATCAAGTGTGAACCTCAGGTAAATTCTGTAACTTCTTAAACCTTGGTTTCTCCGTCTGTGCGCTGCAGCGCCCGCCTGCAAAGGTTGCTCTGAAGATCTATGAGATAATCTATGTGGAATCATTTCACAGAACGTGGGCAGACGTTTTGTATGTCCAGTTGAAGCAAGTTAGAACGACGTTTTTCAGACCCTTCCAGGTCACAGAGAAACGTGTGAGATTTGGAAAGCAGAAGTGAAGCCGCAGCAATTGGCTGTCAAGGACTGTGTGGGCGCCAGGCTCCACTGCAGCTCACCCATGTGATTTCTGATCTGTTGGCATCCCGGGTGTTGTCGGTTGGGCTCACTCTCCTGTTTCTTTGAGTCCTAGGCCAGAGCAAGACAGGACATAACAGCAAATACTCATGGAGTACTTACATGGAGACTGCATTTTTCTTCACAAAAACACTCTAAGGTGTAGGTTCCATGATGGTACAGAGAAGTAGCTTGCTCAGGAACACTGAAATATTCAATGGCAGAGTGACTCAAATCCAGGAAATCTGAATGGAAATCTAAATTGTTAACCACTACTACACAATTCAGAAAATGGATGGTTATAGGAATTCATGATAAAAGAAAAAATGTGAGCTGTGGTTACCAATGGAAATACATTTCATAAAGGATATTTATTGTGTTTTTAACTGGGCTTTAAAGAATGAAAAGCATAAATGACAGATATGGAAAGGAGAGAGGAATTCTGGGAAGGAGAGGATCTGAGTAAAGGGAAGATATGAACACAACGGTACTGTATGGGGAAAGGATGACTAAAGAGCTTATATTGATTTTTTTAATTCTAGGGAAACAGAGAAACTATATATAAGATTCAATGTATACCATCACATCCTTATTCCATAATTATTATTTCAGAACACTAACTGGAAGAGAATGAGTTTAGCCAAATCCCTGAGCACATTGGTACTAAGGCAGCTAACAAGGAAAACCTCTATGAATCTCTCCATCTCTGTAAACAAAGAGGAGCCTCACAGAGTATATTTTGGTATCTGGCTAGTGGTTAAGAGCTTTCGAATCTGATAAGTCGGGTTCAAAATGCAATTCTGCAACTTACTAGTTATGTGATGTGAGGCAAGTTATGTAACATCTCTGAGGCTGGTTCCTCATCTGTACAATGGAGTTAAGAATCTCTAAGTCACCCAGCTGGCGTGGCTCAGTGGTTGTGCATCGACATATGAACCAGGAGGTCATGGTTCAATTCCAGTCAGGAAATATGCCCAGGTTGCTGGCTCAATCCCCAGTGTAGGGCAGCCAATCAATGATTCTTTCTCAACATTGATGTTTCTATCTCTCTCTCCCTCTCCCTTCCTCTCTGAAATCAATAAAAATATTTTTTTAATCTCTAAATCATGGCATGGCTTTCCAGTTTACTAGTAAATGAGGTCACTTATGTATGTGCTTAGCAGAGTTCCTGACATAAGTACATCCCCAATAAATGGCCAACCCTATCAGTAATATTCTTAGTATCAGAATAGAGCAAGAACAAAGGAGCATACTTCTTGGTGCTGCAAAGATCCAGGCCATTTGGCTGGATCATCTAAGCCAGTGGTTCTCAACCTCCCTAATGCCATGACCCTTTAATACAGTTCCTCATGTTGTGGTGACCCCCAAGCAAAAAATTATTTCATTGCTACTTCATAACTGTAATTTTGCTACTGTTATGAATCGTAATGTAAATATCTGATATGCAGGATGTATTTTCATTGTTACAAATTGAACATAATTAAAGCATAGTGATTAATCACAAAAACAATATGTAATTATATATGTGTTTTCCGATGGTCTTAGGCAACCCCTGTGAAAGGGTTGTTCGACCCCCAAAGGGGTCACGACCCACAGGTTGAGAACTGCTGATCTAAACAGTCAATCCCCCTGGAAGGTGAGGAAAAGAGCCATCAAAGCCAATGGAAACCATCTATCATATAGCATATCACTTTCCCTTTGCAAGCCAAATGCAGTTAAGTTTTTCAGCCTTGACTAAGGATGTTCAATCTGCTGGTAATTTGATTCTAATTAGAACTTCCATCCACAATGCTGGAATTGCAAGGGGTGGGGGTGAGACAGAATGAAACAGCAATTAACCTTTGGTTCTGAGCTTTATTTGCTCCTACCCAACCCAGGTCAGTTGCCATAGAGATTATACTTACGTGATCTGCAGATGCAACAAAAGCCGCCTGGAGGCTCTGAACTAGCCTCCTCTCACTGTGGCTTCAGGATAATTAAAAATCTGCTGAGAGAGAATTGAAAGTTGATCTGAAACTCTAATCCAGAGCTGACTTGAATGGAAGTGGAATGGAGGGAGGGGATGGCAAGGAGGACACAGAGTCGGAGGGAAAAATTAAAGAGCACGCACTGCTTTGCCTAACTTTGAAAGAAAACCCTTCTCTTTCATCCACAACTTTCCAGAGTCTGACTATCTGCAGCTTAGAGAGACTGATCTGACGAGGAGGAGGCAATGGTTTGTTGCTTCTGTTAGAAGTGGACCTTCCAACTTCAGATTGTGACCCAGCCTCCCTTAGCCAGGGAAGCTAAAAGAGAGAAGAGATTAGCTCCAATCTAGTCTAGTTTCTAGAAAAGAGGGTGAAGATGAGGCAAACAAGCAGTGCCAGTGGGTAGCATGCAGACTTCTTGGTTCAGGACCAATAGCATGGGAATAGCTGCCTAGTCCATGACATCTAGTGTGAACAAACTAGAGGCCAGCAACCTGGGCCTTGGAATATCACCTCTCTCCAGGAAATCCATTTCCCATTTGCCTAGTACAGTAGTTCTCAACCTTCTGGCCCTTTAAATACAGTTCCTCATGTTGTGACCCAACCATAAAATTATTTTTGTTGCTACTTCATAACTGTAATGTTGCTACTGTTATGAATGGTAATGTAAATATCTGATATGCAGGATGGTCTTAGGCGACCCATGTGAAAGGATTGTTCAACCGCCAAAGGGGTCGCAACCCACAGGTTGAGAACCACTGGCCTAGTGGATTCCTTCATAGCCAGATCGAACTAGGTCTACATCTGTCTCCAATACCCCGCTAGATCCTTACCCCTTTCATTCTTTTGGACTCAGCACTCACAAAATCAAGGTCAGGCAGATAATTAAGTTATTTCCCCCTCCAAGTCTAAGAGCTGTTAATTAACCAAGACAGTGCTAATCACTATTAGGGAACAAGCTAGCAATGACTTAAGTGGATTCTAATTAAAACTTGAGTAGTATCTCCTAGAGCAGTGACTTTGAAAGTTTTTTTTCTTTCATGCACAAGATGTATGACACCCGTATAGGAGGTAACATCCCCTAGGGGTCCTTCATAAATGCCCCTCCTCAGTGAAGCTTTCTCTGGCCACTCCCTGTGGAGTAGCCCCCGCCCCCCATCATTCCTGATCACATCATCCTGTTATAAGTCCTCCATAGAACTGATTACTTGTTGGAATAATCTTGTTTATTTGTTTGTTATTATTTGCTATAAGCTTCCTAAGAGCAGGGAACTTGGTGCCTTACTTTTAACTATATCTCCAGTGCCTCAGTGACCAGACAGAGAAAATACTCGGTGTGAGTTTGTTCACTAAATAAATGAATGTTCCCACAGACTTAGTTTATGTGCAACTTAGAGCAAACCAGTTATCATTCCACCCCTTTCTTTCCCTTTTTAGAAAATATTTCAGAATGTGTGACTAAGAGTGACAGAATTATTGAACTATTCATTCTTTCAACAAATAGTTATTGACTGTTTACTACATGTCAGGTCCTGTGCTAGCTGCTGGCAGTAAAATAATAAATAAGTTAGACAAGACCCTGGCCTTCAGATGGTTCTGTTATACAGGAGACAATAACTGTTGTACATTGATATGCAAATAAAAAGTAAGATCTCATCATTGATGATGGTGCTCATTGCTATGGAGGAAACCAATGGGGTGATGTGATGGAAAGTGATCAGGGCAGCAAGTGTGTGTGTGCAGGGGGAAGGGGGGCTATTTCACCTCAGATAGAGAAACTGAAACTCAAAGAATCAAGTCAGTCAAGTTCAAGTAGTGCTTGGTTGTTTTTTTGTCTCTTTGGATTGTGAGTTCTAGCTCCTCAGATCCCAAGAGAGATCTCATCATATTCTCCCCTATAATCCAAATAGCACAGTGAAGAGTATAAGGGTAGTCAGGGGGTACTCAATAAATATTTGTTGAATGAATAAATGAATGAGGTAACATTCTCCCATGAGGAAACATTCAAGAGCCCATGTGTAAAGGGCTGGGATACAGGAATTCTAGGCACAAGAAACAGAAACCACAAAATCCCAGAAATGGCAAACAACTCAGTACTTTCTACAGCTCAGAAGTAGTGGTGCAGGGGGAGAGAAAAAGATGTGAGTGGAAAGGTGTGTTCATTTTATGCAGGGCCTTAAGGATCAGAAAGGGATTTGCATTTTATTTTTAGTACAATGGCAAGGCACCAGCAGATTTAAGCTGGAGAATGACACAATGTGATTTACATGTTAAGAAAATTACTCTGACTGCTGGGCGGAGAATGAAAACAGGGGCAAGACTAGATGTGAAAGAGGGTAAGGAGGCCGCTACAGTTAGATGATGGCTCGTGCTTGTCCTTGGCTGGTTACAAAGGCAAACAAGAAAAGTAGTGATAAACCCATCTTCCTGTCATGTTTTTATTACATTTTTAAATAAACCATTTGCAAGTCTGTGTTCTTCATTATAGTAACAAAACATGAATCATACCAATTAGGACATGCAAGCATGCCATGATGTAATGATTGGGAATTGCTGTTCTGGAGAAATTTACCTGAAAAGGGCAGGCTGAGATGAGGCCTAGGAAGACCAGGGTTTATGCACATGAACTTTTGGTCCTATAGGCACCACGGCTTTGGTGTCCCCTCCTTACCTGTATTGGATTTGTCATCTCTCACCACCACAGGTCAACCTGGGACCTGACCTCAGCAATGTCGCTTTGACTGAGTCCCTTCAGAGCAGAGTCCATGGCTGCTGGGTTAGTTAGCACCCTGCCTCCACTGTCAGCACTCTCACATGATCAGTGAGTCACTAGTGATCCACTGGCTGGGAACTAGTAACATTGAGACAGAGGTAGGAGTGGACAGTGCTTCACCGTCGAAGTCATCTGTCTCCTAGGATTGCCCAGGCCACTGAGTCTCAATCTAGTTGCACAGTTAGAATCACTGGTACCTTTAAAAAATAATAATAATGTAGAGATAAGAATCTCTGGGTTCAGAGATCATTATGCTTTTAAATCTCCGCAAGTGATGCTAATGGATTGAGAACCACAGGTCCTACCCAACTATTTTATCACAGCCTATAGGACCCTGTGGGATCTCCTGCTCCCCAATTCTCAATCCTATATTAGACTTTGACCAAAAAAAAAAATACATTCCAGCAGACTCTAACAACTACCATTTATTTGGTGCTCAGTTGATACCCAACAAGGTGATCATTATTTTACCAACATTATGTCATTTCACTCTTATAACCACCCTCTGAATCTGAACAAAAACAAAATCTCTGGCCCAAAGAAGTAATATAACATGCCCAAGGTCACTAGCTAGTAAGAGAGGTCAGGGTCCACACCCAGGTCTTATGATCCCACACAGCCCATGCTTTTCATCACTAAGAAATTGTAACACTGTCCCTTAGAGAAACCAAGGTTTTAATCCCATGCCTTTGCCTTACTAGCTGTGTGATATAGAGTGAGTTACTCAACCTCTCTGAATTCTAGGTTCCTCTCTGTAAAGAATTTTTTGCCAATAGCAGCCCTCCTATCACCCACACTATTTCTGGAGTATTATCCTATATAATAAAAGCCTAATATGCTAAGTGTCCCCATGTGGTCAGCCATTCAATCAATCAAAGAGTAATATGCTAATGATATGCTAAGGCTGCTCAACCACTCGCTATGATGTGCACTGACCACCAGGGGCAGACGATTCGACTGGTAGGTTAGCTTACTGCTGGGGTCCAGCCAATGCAGACTGAGCTAGACAGGCCGGATACGCCCTGGAATCTTCCTGCATCCCTCCCAGGCCCCGATCGTGCACTGGTGGGGTTCCTTGGCCTGGCCTATGCCCTCTCGCAATCCGGGCTGAGAGACCCCCTCCCCTGAGTGCACGATTTTGTGCACCGGGCCTCTAATTAGTTATAAAAAGCATTGATCCTGTTGCTACTTGCCTTGGTCTCTAACTGCCATGACCATCTCACCATAGGAGCCTTCACATCTTAGCAAGTACTCCCAGAAACTAGTTCAGAGCTTATCCCAAATTAAGCAGTCAATGTCCATTGAACTGACTGATATGGCCTCCCACTGGGATATGACACATACTTTGGAAATTTGGGTTGTGCGCTGTCATTCAGCTAAAACCTCCCATAAGAGCCACATTGATCCCTCCTATCAGGTGACCACGGGCACTCAGTGAAAACTGCAAAGGGCAAGTTGCCTGTGTAACCCTCATGACTCATTTAGTAGGACTGACTATATTTGCATGACTTTGCATATATTATACAGCAATCAATGATATATGTATTCAAGGCAAAGAAGTTGTAGATGTAGAACACCAAAGATAAGAGTATTTTCCCACAACATGTAATGCAGATGTTAGAAAATCATGCCATTCTACAGTGCATTGCAGCCAAAGTTGGGGCTTCCATATGATCAAAAAGTGACTCTTGTCAGCATGAAAGGAGCATAAGCCTAGGTCTGAGTTAAAGATCAAAAATCAAGAAATTTAATCAGCATTTCTTATCTCCACTCCTACCTTTCACTATTATGAAACCTGAAGGGTAGAGGAAAGGAAGACACGGGGCTCACTTTTTCATTCAAGACCCCTTGGGAAGCTCCAAGAGAATAACTATAATTTTAAGGACCTTTGCATTACAGGAAATCAACCATTCCTTCAATCCCAGAAGAGAATTTTTGTTAAAAGGTCTTTGTGAGATGGCAAGTGCTTCCTACAATAATAATAATTTTATAGTACTGATTCTTGTGTTCATTTATTTATTCAGTCAACAAATATTTACTGAGTACCCTTCTACCCTTCCCTGTGCTGTTAGGATTATAGGGGAGAATATGATGAGATCTCTATTGATCCAGAACTCACAATCCGAAGAGACAGAAAACAACCAAACACTATATGAACTTGAGTGACTTTCTTCTTTTAGCCTCAGTTTCTCTATCTGAAAAATGAAGTATAAAATTCCAATTTTCCATGGTTGGTGTAATAAAATATAACAGTTTCAGTGTGGCTTTTGGCACACAGGTGATCCTCAATGAATGAGAGTTACCACAGTTATCATTGCTCTAAGGGAATATAATGAAGGCAATATGGAATCACAGAGAACACATACTCTTTGAAACTATTCGGGGGGTGGGGGTGGAATAAAGGCATTAAGTCACCAAGTCAACACCATACTTCAGGGTTTTACAGCATCACTGCTTATGTACCACTTAGCAACTCATGGACGCCTATTAACTTGTCACTTGGAGACCTCTGCTCAGGGCTCTGTGTCCCTTTCTGTCCACAGTGACATCTGACGTCTAACTCTTCACTTTCCTGATGGGCCTGGGATGTCTGCTAAGGAGAAAAACAGAGGAACACTGAGAGCACATAACCATTAAAATTAATTGCTCACAAACATTAGAATCCAGACATCCATTGCAGTCATGAAATATGGATAAGGATTTTCTGAAAGCCATTTATATTAAATTACTTTTATAATAGTATTTAACTTTTAAGCATTAAATATTTAGTGCTCCTTTTTGTCATTTGCAAAGAACTTTCCAGCTGTTTCATAGCTGGAGGCATCTATGCCCATCCTGTCTTGAGGGCCTACAAGGTTGAACATCAGACCAACAGCTTTTAGAATTGAGACCAGCAGACATCAGTGACTCCAAATCAGCCAACTCTCATTCATTCAACAAAAATGTGCTGAAACCCTTGGTGTTCCAGATATGGGGATATAAACATATATAAAGCATGATCTCTGAACTAAAAAAACTAGCAAGACAGACACAAAAATATTTACAATGTGTTGTCTATATTTCCCCTACTGTCATCTCCAACAAAATTATTTAATAGCTTTTGAAATGCATCTTAACTCTTTCTCAACTCCATATATTTGCCTATTACTTCTGCCTGAACAGCTCCCTTCTGCCCAGCCATCTCCCAATTCTTCTTATGGACATACTTCAACTGATACTGGTAACAGCACTTTCAGCAGGCTTTCCTGGGCACCACCTGCAGTCTGATTTACTAGTAGATGCCTGTCCTACTAACCCT